AGCAAGAATGACGACGAAACCCTTAAAACTACGTTGGAGAAGAACATCACCGACACTAAAACTATGCTAGAGAGCAGCATTAATGACACAAAGAACATAAGCAAGATTGACGACAGTGCACTTGAAGAAAGACTACAGATAAACATTAATAACACCATCGACAAATGCATGAATGTGAACATCACTTTGACAGAAAAGGTATATAGTATATACTTTAAACTAAGTGTTTGTATGTTATGCCAACTCAGTGCTTGTTGTTCTAGATTGACACGGTCTCTAAAATGCAAGGACCACGTGGTTTCAATGGTAGTCAAGGAGTAAAAGGAGACAAAGGGGATACAGGAGCTGGAAATCTAACACAGTGTGTTGTCAAAATTTTAAAGTCGAATGGGACAGCCCCACTTGGCAATAACGCATCTGAATCAGTGTCAGTAATAGAAGAAACGGTATGTTTATAACTCCTATTCAAAAAACGCTGTCGAGGAGGACGRCGAAGGACGATTGTACGAGATTGCACGACTCCGAAAGGGACTATGGTTACAATGTTTGACAAACAAAATTTCACTTATTAGATTCACCTTGCATAGAAATGGTTACAGTGTTTACCACAGACTATCTTACAGTATAAATCAGTTGTTGTTGGCTGACTGGGCTAAGATTTTATAGACAAAGAGAATTACAAGAAGTTTCTTAATACATATATTTCGGACAACAATATATGTATTAAGAAACTTCTTGTAATTCTCTTAAAAATCAGTTGTTATTTTCCCTTCAATTAGGAAAACCCATGGCCACTTTCGGTTGTGCAATCGCAAAGTCGCGTAAAATTCCATAATAACAGCACCTTCATATGATTGAAATTTCTAAATACCCACACACATCCGTTTTTGGCTTGATAATGATGCAATAAAAACAACAACAACAACAACAACAGCAAAAGAACATTCTCCAAAGGAACTGATTGATATGTACAAAGTTGAACGGTTTAAAATATACATTACAAATTGTATTCTTTTTTTTTTCAGGGAAAAAAGATTCTGCATTTTTCATGCTCCTCAAATAACGCAGACATTGTGGAAAGCATGGGA